AAATTTAACCCTCACTCTGTTTCCCATTTTATTAGGAATTCATGATTCTAACTACTTTCTTTCCAACTCCAGATCATTGTTTGTGTTTTGGGATGGTTTATTTTGCGTCTTGGAATACTTGGTAGGAAATTTTGATTTTTTTCAAGATAATTCTTATCCCAACTATGAATACGTATGTAGCCGGCACAGACCCTGCCTTCATCATAATTAGTACATTCTCCTCTGGAGGGAAAGTAGGATCACTGTCTTCCATTGGTACATTCATTTGGGATGTGATATGGAATGCTTAAATGATCAGTGTCCATCTCTTCATATCTATGCTCGTAAATACGCAGGGATTAGTCTAGCAAACGATCAAATAGACTGGGGCTCTCATATCCTCCTTGTACTCCTGATGCGGTTTGTAATGTGACCCTATTGGGTCCTCGCCAGACATGTAAGATTTTCTGGACCGATAAATTTCCTCTATTAGATCGATGTATTCAGTGGATTCGGAAGGTGGTTTCTAATAGATAAAAAGAGGAAGTCTCTATTGATGTAGTCTTATGCTGCTGTGAGTTCAACATGACAAGTATAGAATTTTCTATTAGAGAGGTATGCAATTTCTTGGAGTTGTTTGATGATATTTATGTCATCATTACACAACTTACCAGAACGAAATTTCTAGTTTGCGGCGAGGAGGTGACTTTCATAACATGTTGAGAGTTTAGTTAATATAATGTTAATTAATACTTCCACCATGATGGTTCCACTTAAGATACCATTGTGTGCGTGTAAGTCTTGAGGTTTGTCGTTCTACTTTTATCTTGCTTATCTAATTCCAAACATCCTTCATAAAATTGAGAAACTTGTTATTAGATTGGAGGAGAATGTAAGCTATTTTCAAAGGTTCATCTTCAATATCTAGTAATACTTTATTATCCATTTAATAGAATTCTTCATTTCTTCATCAGTAGGTTCGTTACTGTTTATGCCTGGAAAACAACTTTGTAATGATCGGATATATATATATATATATATATATATATATATATATATATATATATATATATATATATATAAAAGAAATATAGTCTTAAGAGGTGCTATATTTATGGGATAAAGTGCTCAATATCATAGATAGAGTGTGTGTAAATATAAAAGTGAACAGGAAGTCAATCACTTACAGGCGACAGTCTGTTTCATGCTAGATGCAATGGTCAGGCCTGAAGATTTCATCTAGCATGAAACAGATTATCGCCTCTAAGTGTTGACTTCTATGTTCACTTTTATATTTATATATATATATATATATACAAATGATATATATATACATATATATATATATACCCACACACACACACACACATATATATATATATATATATATATATTATTTCTGCGAGCATCTTTAGTGTGGTGAGGGATGAAATGTAACTCAAAGTGTTTTTGAGACCAGGACATTTCTTCTGTATCAGTTTTGATTGTATGGTGTTACTGTGATTCGTTTTTGCTTTTCTCCATATTTTAACACACAGTCCATGTTAATTGGGTGCATTTATTTAGTTTCCAATTTTTTAGAGTTATTTGTTCCTCAGAGCATTAACTATTTCTTTCTAAATTTTTTTGTTAATTGTATACTATTTTCCCTTTCATTTTCCATCCTCTTCACTTTGTTACAATCTTGTATCATTCTTTTTTTTTAAAAATCCAGGATTGTCATCCCAGGGGAGAATCTTTTCCCTTCGAGGAATCCCTGGATAAGTCTTACGCGCTTCAACTATTGAAGATATGAAAATATTATTTGATTCCTCTATGTTGTTTTGATCAAGATATTTTGACATCAATCTGACTCTAGTTTATTGGCGAATTCTAAATGTACCCTTTAATTTTCAACGAGTTGGATGTTATACCTCGGTGCTTTTAGTGTTTTATGTGGGTGGAATGATTACCATTTTTGTGTCTCTGCGACAGAATATACAGTCTAGAGTAAAGCATTATTTACATTATTTGGACTATTGTCCTCATCTTTGACGCCATGTTTATCGCAACATTTCGGCCGTTGTACGCTCCGGCCTTCTTCAGGTGGTTTGAATGTCGAATTGAACCCTTTATTTCGCTCACTGGGGTAGACTGTTCTAGTTCTACGTGCCATGTCTAATGAATGTTATTTATCTCCTGTTAATTCCCTCAAAGGTCTCCACCGCCTTAACCAGGTATTGAACTCATACACTTTGAGTCCCGTCACTGGATCTAACTAACACCTTTACCCACTGAGCCACGTGTTCTCAAGGACAGAACCCAAAGTGTGTGAGTTCATAATAAAAATTCAGGATATGGAATTAGTAAATACAAAACACTTCAAATATATCGGTGT